CAATAATTTATTTATTCAGTTACCAGACAAGCGAACAGAAGCAAAAGTTTGTCGATGCATTATTTGTCATTCTCGGCAGCAAACCCACTATTCACGCTCATATCGAAAGCGTGAAAGCACTTCCGGATAATTTCACAGAGGTTTGTTAGCCATCTCTTAGCTAGTTTGTTGGTCAACTTTGCAAAGTGGGTTTTTGTCGCTTTTAGATTTGTGTTTACGTGACTGAGAAGTTTCGCGGACGCATTTCTAGTAAAGAATTGGCTCAATACTTCAATCAAGCTACACAGAAGCAGCAGTTGGAAACTCAACTGAAGGTAAGTGTTCTGAATTTTATTTAATAAAGCTGCTAACAAGATATTATGCATCATCTACGTGATTGTTCAGGTTGATAAAGAAAAAATAATCTCTCGGGTTCATATGGATAAACAGCAAAAAGAGCTCTATCTAAAAGATCCTCCAACCGGTAAGGTTTTGCAAGCACTGCTTTGTTTATGTAAATGAAATTGGAATTGTTGAACCAAGAATCATTGTTCTTCCTTTGCTCTGCTTTCTTCAATCCACAAAATTTTCTTCTGGATTTATTTCTTTGGTGAAGCCCTAGTGCCGAAGATTTGTGTGGAGCTATTGCCCATATTCATGACGCATAGAGGGAGGAAATGTTCCTACTTACTGACGTCACTAAGGAAGCTGGATATTCCATAAACAATTCGTTGATGTGGGTAGAGAACCAGCAATTCTCTGCTCAGCCTATCTACATATCTTGATGACCATGACCTTTAGTCACTACGGCAACCGCGTAAAAATGCAACAATATTTAGATACACACGTGATTAATCTCAATTTGTTTTGTGTTACTCTAACATATCAATCGATTTATTCCCTTTTTCTTGGCAAAGGTTATTGTTATGACGTGCTTTTGAAGACATCTCAATTTTTGTCTCTTCTGTCTAACTGGTGCGGTATTGTTTATTTTCATTTTTGGATCTTTGATGCTTGTTAGCAAAATAAAGCAGTGAGTAATTTCTTAGGCGCAGAATTTTTGGAGCTAGTGAATTCTGGTTCTTAAATATGCCTTTTTGCTCTGAATTTTCTGCACATGTGCTTTTTTCCGTTATCATATCACTGCTTGCTTAAATAACTCTTTTCCGCTCAGTTCTATCCATAGTAGGTTCAGTTTCTTGTATTCTGATTCTTGTTCCTCCACAAATCTTTCGCTTTGCAGGATTCGATGCATCATTATGGGCACAAGCTGTGCGAGAGAATCCAGACCCTGAAAGATTACTTCCGTATCCAATCCGCGGCTTCGAGCAGCTGAGAATGAGACAGAAGGCACAGATTGAGAATGTAGGTTTTTTTGGGATCCTACTGGTTAATATCT